AAATGGTTTCTCCCAGTTAGGTGAAACTATAATAGGGGCTGTGATTAATTTTTCCTTTAATAACTCAAAGGCATTTAAACAGCTTTCAGTAAATTCAAATTTCTTGTCCTTTTCTAAAAGTTGGCATAGAGGGTTTACAAAGGCAATGATAAAGACGTAAAGCCATAGCATCTGTGCGAGATCTCAGGTGTAGTAGGGCTTATATGTGAGGTCTTATGTTGGGTAGAGGGCAGAAGTGAAATTAAAAGGGCTCTATGATAGTTGAAGGTGGCATAGACAAGCCGGGGAAGGATGCCAAGATATAGGGTAGAGAGTGGAGTTGCGAGGTCATGAGAGTCTCTAAAATCACTTAATGTTGATGTATTAAAAGGTCTTTTGTTTTATATGAATTTGATCTACTTTGAAAATGTACTAAATATGGGCTTCAATTTATGTTCTCTTTTTTCATTTCTGTCAATTGCGCTTCTTACTTTTTTTCATCGATTCCGCGGGTTATCCTGAACTGCTGACGTGGCGAGTCACTGTCGGTGGCTTATCCAACTTGCACTGCAATCAAATCTTCGTACCGACTTCTAATAAAATTATTAATAAGGGACAACTGACCAATTTTATTGTATTAAATGTTCCCTTTAATATAATTATTAAATTATTGATTTATTTAGAAAGCTTCGAGAATATCGTGCCGCGTGTAACTTTCTGAATGATATCCTGTTGTTTGATTCTTAGAGGGGAGGGGTGTCAACATCGCAATTAAATGGGCCTTTTTGCAATCATTATTTGAAGGATCCGAGTAGTCAACGATGTTTATACTCGTAAATTTAAGCTCGAGTTTAAACTAAAACTCGATAAAATTTATCAATCTCAAGTTTAAACTGACGGTGGCTCGAGCACAGCTCACTCGACTCATTTATAGCCTAACTTGGGGGACGAGAAGAGATTTGGGCTTCATCTTTTTTGGATAATTCCGTAGCATCTACAAAATCCAACAGTTATGTGATATTTTTGAACAACCGAATCGTTGTATTTATTACATGTGTCACGATCAAATTATTGAGAAATGAAAAAGAGGGATTTGGGTTTTATCATGAATTTTTATGTTTGAT